GGTGCTGAGCTGTGCCTAATGGGACGAGAGTTCACAGCTTCCCACCAGCCCAAACAGCACTGACAGTGCACAGCCCCTCTGTCCCACTGGGTTGGGATCAGTCCAGGCCCATGCTGGGGCTAAATATGGCTGCAGCTTTCCCAGCACACGTTCAGAAAGGGGCTGGAGAGACAGGGAAGATCTCAATGTTCCAGGCATAAATCAGGGAAGTATCCATCCTCACTGGGTTCCATGCCAGAGCCATGACAGGACTTGGTTTCCCAATCCTGYTAACAGAGCTTGGCCACTTGCCTTAATAACCAGGGGAAAAATAAACCCCAAACACTCCCTAAGGCGAATGAAAAAACCTGTTTTAAGATCACTCTCATTACCAAAAGCTGGGAACACTGGAAATCACAACCAAAATTCGGATTGTGCAGCTTCTGGGCAACACTCCTGGGACAAACAACCTTTTCTGGAATCTAAAACAACGAGCCAGACAGTCAGGTGATAAAAATGCAGTTACCTTTTATGAAGGGTCCTTCAGGTGCACAACACACCAAAATATATGCCAAAATGTGCCAAAGGTGTACATGTGACATAGAGCAGCTACAATTTTGTAAGTTTAGCAAATGAGCATAAATTACAAGAATCCCCAGTAGGTGATGAGGTAATTCACCCTTTTGGTTCAACCCCCTTCTGAAGCCCCCCTTCCTCACTACTGGCTAAACTTGGTTTATGAGAAAGTGTCCTGACCTTGGTTCTCAGAARACAGAACAGGGCCTTCGGAATGCGTTTTGTCTGTCTTTCTAACAGGGTAGGTGAAATGCTAGCTACAAGTCTATATAGTTATATAACAATAAGCTACAGAGCTACAAGTATTTGTGAAGAATATATAAAAGGAAAAATCAGTTTGGCATCACTGGGACCATTTTGAAACAACACAGCGCCCATAGGGCTGCCACCTCAGGATTTGGGCAAAATGTTCCTTGCTGGGTTCAGGTGCATTTAGTTAAGTGTGGGCACAGGCTGTGCCCCAAGCCTGGCACTGCTCTGAAACCGCTTCAGAGCCACAGGCRGAGACTGCAGCCTCACTGCTCAGGCACTGCAACAGTTTTCCTGCCATCCAACCAGTTAATAAACAGCAGGAAAATAAACCTCTGCCCCAAAACTCAAATTACAACTATTAACAGGTACTCTGACACTGCCACACACCTGAAAGCCTAATACACTCAAAAATACTGTGCAAGCTGGTGCTTGTATGGTCATATTYTGGGGTTTCCTGGAACCGTCTCAACTTCTCTGGGTCACACTCTGGGGTATCCCAGGACCCTCAGAACCCCTCACATCATGTTTTAGTATCTCCTGGAGCACTCCAACCACCTCAGGTCATCTTTTGGGGTGCCCTGAAAACCTCAGAACTTCTTTGGGTTCTATTCTGGTGTCCTCTGACCCTCTCAGCTCATATACTGCAGTGCCCCAGATCCCTCTGAACCCCCTAAAGTGACACATGGAGTTCCCTGGGCTCCTCTGAACACTTATTAGACTTCTCTTACTGAGCAGTGGAGAACTCCAGAAATGGGCTGACACAGGCTTTGCTATAAATATGGATTTACCTTTTGCTAACATCGGCAAATATAGGAAATAAGCAGTACTCAGTCTAGGCAGGGTGCCTATGTTTTTGGCAATAAACAGGAATCGGGGATACATTATGCCATTGATTACACAGTGCTGGTTTTAAGCCCTCAAGAAAGAAGCACTTTAGAAGATACCAAAGAACATCTGCAGCAATCGACTAGAACACAAAAGAGACAAGCAGGGAAGGGAAAGGAGAGGGATACTAAGGCTTTGAAGTTACATTTTGATCCCAACCATTTCCTCTTGAAAACTAATTCCCAGGTTCAAAAACTATTGCTGGGCTCATGCATGCTTCTCTACYGCGCTCCTGGCTTAATTATCTGGTAGAGATCCACAATCATCAGTCTGAACCAGGAGCTGGYCAGGCACACCGATAAGAGCAGCACAATTCTGACAGTGACTTCCATCAACTCCAGCTAATCCTACATGGCAACAGGAGCTGTGTAGGGAATCCCAGAACCCCGCCACGTTACCTGCAAACTGCACAAGGAACATGGCAAGATGCTCATCATAAGGCAGGAGCTCAGCCAGYTCTCCCACTGCTCCCAGCTTGGCTTTTTCATTGAAAATCCAAGTGCCAGGCTGAGCTCCCTCGCTCGGCTCCAGCTCCCAGCACAATAGGAAGGCTGGGACCTAGTGACAGCAGAACTACCCCGGAGCAGGCAGGACAGCCCAGGCATGAGAGCTCACGCTGGTCTGGAGCTGGCACCCAGCAGCTCCATGTGTCACCATCCGTCTCTAGTGACTGACACCCAGAGGCAGATTCCAGGATGCAGGGGACGGAGGCGAACGAGCAGGTGGGGAGGCGATTAACAGCCAGAGCATCTGAATTTGCCAGGGATTTCATACATCATTGCTCTAAGCACTGGCACGCAGCTCAATAAACCCTGTTTGCATGCCCGAGATTAGTGGCCTTTGCACCAAAAGATTAATTCCTGGTAATCCTTGATGGTAAGAGGCATGCCGCTCACTTTCCTTCATTCTGGAAGCTTGTATTTGAAAGAAATRTATTAATTTCAGGCAAGCTAATTATTCTAGCAGGACACTATAAAACCAAGAGAYCCAAAAAGGCCCTTTCTCCTTTGCACCCGAGAATGCAGCAGTCAGCAATGCCAGTCAGGGACACCAGCCTGAAGAGTTTTCACAAAAATACAGCCACAGTAGCAAAAATAGGGAGATTTGACTAAGTCCTGTATAAGCTGTGCTCTTCAYTCACTGTTGTAACCCAAAACAAAGGAAAAAAATTCCTTACCAGTATGTGTGTACACATACGTGTGTCACCAGCACCGACCTAACACAGCCCTTAATGCTGACCAACAGTGGAACCTGCCATGCCTACCACACCAAATGACCAAATATTCCACAAAATGTTTCCAGGATGCTCAAAAGACTCTGCCAAACCACTCTCCCTCTGCACACACATCTAGGAATTCTGACATTAGGATTTTCAAGGGGTGAGCTGCCTGTGTTCCAGGGGGTACAGAGCAAGTGGCACTAGGCAGCTCATTGGTCCCATCCCTTTCAGTTCTTCCAGCATTCCTCGAGAGCAACACCCAGCACATGCCACTCAGAACAATGCTCAACAGCTCCTGTTTTCAGAAATATCTTTCTGAAAAGCTACAAGAAGAAAGGTGGTGGGCAAAGGGATGCAGGACGAACTACACAGAGCTACTGAGAAACAAAAAAAGTGAAAAATAAAAGGGGGAAAAAAGGGAAGACACAAAGAAAACTCCAGTAGAGCCAGCAATCAGAATCATCAGAAAATCCCAGTGCAAAAGCCTAGACTGATGGACAAGAGAGCCTTGTGGAAAGCCAGAGTGAGGAACTGCTGGCTGAGAGTGAAGCAGCTGGATGAGACAGACATGYCAGAACTAGAGTAATGTCAGCAGAAAAGTTGGGGATTAAGGGAGAAATCTCACACCATTTTTGGAAGGTATACAGAATGCYTCAGTAGCAACACCTGATCTTTGAAATGACTTGGTGATTGAACCTTAGCCCTGCTACAAGCTCCAAACACATGACCTTCAACACAGAAACCTAACCTTGCCCCGGCTCCCACACAGCTTTCAACAACTCAGCTCAAGGGGCTTTCTAATTAGATCCTCAAAATTCCTCAAATAAGCTTTGAAGAAACAGAGAACCCAACCACTTGGCTTCCAGCACATGGAATGGCTGGAGTAAGAAGGAACACAAGTTGGAGGGACAAACTCCTACCCCAGGTCGCCTCCATGCTTTCTCACAGTCTCACAGCTCTGCTGCAACTTTCTGCAGGAAAATACAGAAAAATACAGAAAAATACAGAAAAATAAAATGGCTAATGAATGTAGCTACAGGGGAGGTGTAGACTAATGAGCAGCTTATCCAAGGATTAATGTTTGTGTAATAAACACGTGGCACTAAAGAACAAAAACATCTCCACACACAATGACCTAAATGCACCTTATTGGTAACAGCACACAGCACCAAAATATGAGGAAAATAAGAGAGAAAGAAGCACATAAACCAAAGAAGCTCGATATAAATGCTCAAGGAACCAAATAAATGCATGCACGTGCATATATGAGTTACAATCCAGGGCTGTGGGAGAGCTGCAGCCCACGGCAGCTGTAGGCACCAGCACCAGCGTCCCCGGAGCTCCCCGAGCTGCCCACGGACCGTCTGCTGTAGCACCATGGATCCAGCACAGCCCAGACACACTGTGAGCCTCGGGAGAAAGGGAGAACACAGCCAGGTACATCTCACCCCCGGGGGGAAGCTGCTGCCACCTTCACACCCCACCGCCTTTGCAAACCACTTGCTCTTTGAAGTACCAGAATAATTACTTTATATACAACTAATTTCTCCTTGTGCCACTTTCACAGGATCGCTGAGGTTGAACAAGGCCTTCAAGATGATCCAGACSCACCAGCACCACCACAATCACCCCTAAAACACATCCCCAAGTGCCTCTTGAACACGTTCAGAGATGGTGCCTCCATCACCCCCCTGAGCAACTTATTCCAATGCCTGACCACTCCGGGAGGGAAACGATTGTTTCTAATGCCTGACCTGAGCCAATCCCGGCACGACTTGAGGCCATTTCCTCTCACTTTGAGGAAACACGACATGGCACAAGATCCGACTCGCCCCCCGGCTGCCGCCTCCTGTCAGGGGGGGGCCAGAACAGCCCCGCTGAGCGTCCTCTGCTCCAGGCTGAGCCCCCCGCAGCTCCTTCAGCCGCTCCCAGCGCTCCAAACCTTTCCCTGGACACTCTCCATTCTTTCTGATCTGATTTTAATGTCCTTTTTGAAGTGATTTTAACCACCACGGAACTCAAACAGTGGTCTAGACATTGCCAGATGACATAAACCTTCACACACAGCCTCCCCAGCACTCAGACGGACCCGGAGCCCCGAAGGTGTCCCCGCCAGTCTTSTCGGTGTCCCGACGGCTCCCACGAGGTTGCTCTGCACAAAACTCCCCCGCCAGCTCGGCCCGGCCGGAGCCCCGGAGGAGGCCGATCCTGCCCAGCGAGCCCCGCTGCCGGCCGGGCAGCGGCCCAGAGGGCGATGGGGGGCGGGGCGGCCTCTCCACAGCCTGGGCCCCGGCAAAGAGCGCTCCGGGCCCAGCCGCGGCCGCCGCCCGCTCCCCGCCGCGGGCCG